GGAGGACCAGAGCTACGAGACAAGGCTACTAAATTTAAACATGTTCACATTAGAGGTGAGGAGATTAAGGGGGGATATGATCTCCATGTACAAAATGTTCAATGGTGGTAGCAACATTAGCGATAAACTGTTTAAAATTAACTCCATTACAAAAACTAGAGGCCACCACCTAAAATTGGTGGAAAAAAAATTCCAGCACAAGGGGCGAAGGGGGTTCTTCACAGTAAGATCAGTTAGGGTCTGGAACTCACTGCCACAGGCGGTGATTTCAGCAAATAATGTGGAATTGTTCAAGAAACTTTTGGACGATTTCTTAAGGGACCGTAATATACAGGGGTACGGGTACTCCTAGAATGAGATCCTAATAGGTTGGACTTGATGGACTAATGTCTTTATTCAACCTCAAATACTATATGTAACTATATGTGACAGTGGCCCCTTCTAAATGGGATTCCTTCCGCAGGAATTCATAGGTTCCTGCCACAGGAATCCTAAAATGCACATTCACTGTCAGTATGAATGTAGCCTAACAATGAACTGCTCAAATTTGCTCCCTTATCATTTGTTAAATATATTAAAAATGTTTTGTTACATGTGTTTTGATTAAAAACCTGTTGAGTCTGCCAGAAATCTTGTCAGCTGATAACTTCCTGTATTTTCTGTCTTTGTTGCATTCTTATTAATTACTGTAGTCTAGGGATGCACAGGTATTGGTTTTTCAAGTACAGAGTACCGATATTTTTTTCCCGGTACTCACCGATACCAAGTACCGATACCAAAAGTCCCTTTAGGGAAGCCAGGCGGCGTGTAATGACTCGCCACGTGGCTTCCTGATTAGCCGGGAAGCCGGACAGCGTATAAAGACTCGCCACTTGGCTTCCCGATTTAGCAGGGAAGCAGTCAATAGGTGACGAAAGCATGGAGCTGGATTTCTGGCCAATCAGGAAGCCGGGCACCGTGTAATGACTCGCTGCCCGGCTTCCTGATTCCGGTAGCTCAAGTATCAGGCCAGGCATCGGAGCATTTGGGCGAGTACGAATACTCAGCATCCATATAGATACTGGTATCTGTGCATCCCTACTGTAGTCTATTGAGAAAGCTGAACACCTCCTCACTGTGTTATAGAGAAGAGGATGGAGGCGATATGTAGTCCTAACATAATTTGCTGACAATGCTGCTCCTCCATAGATACAGTACAGGGAAATCACATTGACACCATAAAAAAACACTATTTGAGTTTGAGATGGACGCTTATTAATATTCCCCCAAGCTAGACCCAGACTAGCAGATGGAGGCTCGGCTTTAAGGACCACTCAAGTGCACATGTGCTGACAGCGGAGTTATGGACACTGTAAGCAGTGTTATGATGCTTCTTTATTGTCCAGTCAACAGGGGCAGGCCAGTGACCAGGCTGTATTATTATATGTGAAGTGGCGACGAGTGAGACTACAGACCTGGCAGCGCTGTCCAGTAGGGGTGTTTGGATTGAAAGAGTGGCTGAACAGTATTAGAAATCATTCTGCTGCTTAAGCAATGCTTCTATGTATATTTGAACTGTTCATTTAGCCACTTGCTTGAAGTTCTGTTTGATATTTCTGCATAGGAAGAGGGACAACCGCATATCGCAGTTAAAAACATAAATGATGCAGTACTTCCTGTTTGTTTCCCAATGTATTACATGTAGTCGGTCACATGGCTGTTATTCAGATGAAGCAAATGAGTGATGATTATTTATAAAACATTATTCATTATCTCTGTCGGTTTGTCAGACCAGCTCTGTTGTTTTTAGTCTACTGTAAGACGTGAATGATTCTAATGTGTTACTCACTCAGCTGGGAGTCAGCGTGGAATGTTGGGGTCAGCGTTGTACTGTGACCTCCTGTCTCAGCACAAGGATACGGACCTTTATGTGACACGGTGTCATCAGTCAGAGAAAGTCATTATAATTACTCTTCCCCCTTCTCTGCCATGCCCAGCAGATGCTGTGTAAATATTGTATATCTAGATGAAAGTTGTCACATTCGTTCGCATACCATAAGCACCCATTCACACTCATGGCACCATTTTGCTTGTCGCATTGGGGTGCCATTAACAATTAATGGCACCACAAGTGCAACACTAGCTTTTTCCATGTTCCTTGAACACACTCAAATGCATGCGTTTTTGCACTCGTTCGTGCTTGTGACTATTGTCAATGGCGGGGGATCACACGCCAGGGAATCTAGCATTGATCTGCTGTGATCCACTGCCACGCAGTTCTCCTGGCTGCACCCCGATGATGAATTGCCAGGTCTGCCCTGCAGGTGATTTGTGAAGCCTCAGCCGGTGCCTCCTGGGTTGATTTGGCTATCCCACTAGGCTTCAAAAGATTGTCTGACAACATTCTCTTCGCACATTAACGTAGGCGGGGGTGAGGTGAATTGTAAAGGAAGAGGAAAAAAAAGAGAAACAAATTGGAGGGAATTTTATCAAAACTGAAGCAGACAAAATCTGGAGCAGATATGCACTGCAGCTAATCAGCTTCTCTGTCTCATTTTCAAATCTTACCTGAGCAGACTGAACAGAGATGCTGATTGGTTGCCACGGGAAACTGCTCCAGATTTTGTCTGCTTCAGTTTTTATAAATTCCCCCATTGTCTTTAATTAAGGAAGGGGGATTAGAAAGGCATAAAGTTGAATTTTTGCTCTAAAATAAGCGGACAGTAGCCAAATGTGTTGTCTGAGTTAAATGCTTAAGCTAAAGGGTTACTAGTCTGTCTGTAATGATGACTAGAGGTTGGGTCATATGGTTTCTGACACGGGGGCAGTATCCATGGCCTTTGCCAAAAACATTATTAGTCACAGTGTTGATTTTAACTTTGCTCTACAGACCCTTATTCCTATTAAAGTGAACCCTGCGCCTTCAGCTCATGACCATTCCCTCTGTGGGTCAGACCTCTCAGCAAGACATCAAGCATGCAAATAGTTAATTTAAAGAAGCAGTACAACACCTTAATGTTTTCAATGAAACAAGCTACAAAAAATGAATTGATGTGAAAGAAATGACATTAAAGTAAAACTCCAGCTATCTTTGATGTAGCATGGAAGGGTTAGACCCAGTGCCTGGTTTTATTGCTGTCTGCATTCCTGACAGCAAGAATGCATTCCTGATTCTTTTTTACTTCCTGTCCTAGTAATGGTGAGCATTGAGGCAGGAAGTGAGGATAAAACCCTTCTCATTTAGAGACCCAGGCAGCAATAAAAATCTGACAGGAGTTATGATCCTTTTTTCACTCTGGCCAAAAATAAAATATGGCAGGAGTTATACTTGACATTTATAGAAGGTGGTATTCTGCATGGCATGTATGTGTAAGATAATCTCCCCCCTGACTATTCCAGTTATGGCTTATTTCCTGTCTCCATTTTCCATGTATGTATGTATGTATGTATGTATAAGTAATTTTGTAATTGGCCTTGTAAATTCTTACTCCTTTTCTTCACAAATGTAGTGCTGTATTAAACATTAACCCTTGGGCCTTGCAAATCCACCGCACGCTTCTAGAGTTAAGTTCACTTTTTTGTCTAGGGACGAAAATAAAAAAGTTGAACTGAACCTCAGAGCCGGCTGGCGTATACCCCAGTCCCTGCTGCCTGTCTTCTCCTTCACTCCAGCGTTGGTATGTCCCTCGGTGTCAGCTGAAATCCAAGCCATGCATGGTTAAAGAGGAACTCTGGGCATAATTATGTTTAACCCTTGCAGTGGGGCTACTCCCATCCCCCTCACTTTGCCTAGGGAACTAAAATAACAGAGATATACTTACCCGCACTGCGATCCTGGCTGGCTCCTAGACCGGTCCCTGCAGCCTCGCTCCCCCTCTGCTCCAGTAGTCTAAGGTCCTGTGAGTGATCACATCCAATACAGTGTATAGGACGTGAGGATACAGAGGGACATTTTGTCGCTGGATCAGAAGACGAGGGAAGCTGAGGGGACTGGTCTAGGACC